TATGAGCGCATTGACACCAGCCAACTCTCGAAACCGGCTGTTCTGAATGCCTATCAAACTACACTGTCATGCGAGATGGATAAACGCTCACTGGATGCAACTGATGGTCACTGGTCTCAAATTCACCAGCCCCTAATAGCAGCAGGAAAGTCCTCATGTGGTATGTCTAATAGACAACATGGACTTTGGGTCTCTTCTCATTCTCTGGAACTTATCGACGCTCGCCGGCATATTCCGGCTGGAAGCGAACACAATGAAACTCGCAAAGAGCTCCAGGCAAAACTCTGTGCTATCCTGAAGAGAGACCGCGAATCCTGGTGGTCTCATCGTGTGTCGGAGATGGAAGTAGCCGCTGCCCTTGGTAACCATCGTAAGTTATTCCGTCTGATACGGGAGTCGAGCAGCATGAGATCTGGTGTTAGTGAAACAATTTGTGACGAGAGTGGACAGCTTATCCACAACTTGTCAAAACGTTTGGAGCGTTGGGCTGAGTTTTCTGAAAAGCAATTTAATCGGCCGGAATTGTTAGATTTCTCGCCGGCCACTGATTGCGCCGCTCCCTGGGCTGTCCCTTTGGATCCACCCTCTCGCTCAGAAGTCGAACATGAGATCAAACTGTTGAACTGTAGGCCGCGCGACCAGATGAGTTACCCACAGTCTTCTTCAACTTCGGGGGACCTGCTCTTGTGAATGATTTACACGAGTTACTAGTGAAACTGTGGGAGCAGGAAACTCTCCCAACCGACTGGAGCCGCTCCGTCATAGTCCCAATTTTCAAGGGAGTATCACGATCGGAATGCGGCTTCCGTAGAGGAAACAGTCTGGTCTCCATCGTCTCCAAATTGCTTGCCTCTGTCATTGTTCACAGACTGACTGGCAATCATGGAAGCCACATTCTTGAAGAGCAAGTTGGGTTTCGTCGAGGTCGTGGCTGCATTGACCACATCTACACCTTGCGTCAGTTGTTGGAGCACTGTCACATATATTGGCGGCCCACCGTTGTCGTGTTTCTCGATGTCAAAAGGTGCATTCGATTCGGTGGATAGAGGTGCACTTTAGGACTGTTTACTCAGGAAAGGTGCACATGAGAAATATGTGAATATTATCCGAGCATTGTATGCGCGTAGCTCGGGCAGAGTGAGGGCTTACGGCAAGTTGTCGTTGCCCTTTAATATCTCCAGCGATTTGAGTCACGGATGCCCGTTGTCACCTTCCCTCTTCAACTTCGCTATTGATAAAGTCATGGAAATCGCGTTCACAGGACACGACTTAGAAGGTGTGGATCTGCTCCCAGAAGAACTTCTTGACTTGGAGTATGCTGATGATATTGCCCTAATCTGTGACAACTCACAAACGTGCCAAGCGGCACTGGACAGATTAGCACTGGCTATCCGTCACTTCGGGCTTTGTTTCGCACCCTCGAAGTGCAAAGCGTTCCTCCAAGATTGGTCTGGACCGCCTTCTACGCTAACCCTTGGTGGGGATCAGCTAGAAGTCGTTCAAAAATTCAACTGCCTGGGAAGTTGTATCAGCGCCCATAAGATTGAAGATAAGGTCACAAACCGTATAGCAAAAGCTCGGGGCGCTTTTGCTAACCTTCACCATTTATGGCGCCGGCGCGACATCACTCTTGCCCTGAAGGATAGAGTGTACAATGCAGCGGTACGTTCGACCCTACTGTACGGTTGTGAAACCTGGCCGCTTAAAGCAGCGGACCTGAAGAGGCTAGTTACGTTCGACACCGGTGCCTTCGTAATTTAGCTCACATCTGGTGGGAACACCGCGTGAGCAACGAGCGTGTTCGACGCCTTGTTTACGGCACAGGAAAAGGAAATGAACCGCTCAGCACCGTCATTTCACGCACCAGGCTCCGATGGCTCGGCCAGGTGTTACGCATGCCAGCCCACCGACTCCCGCGACGTGCGTTGTTTGCGCGCCAGGGGTGTGGATGGAAGAAGAGGAGGGTGGCCAAAGCGATGACTTGGTCGAGAGGAATGAAGGCCCTCACTTCTGAGCTGGCCTCGGTTGGAGCGTCTCGGCTCCCTGGTTGGGGTCCGAAAGACGATGAACACGTTTGGCTGGATACACTTGCTGACATGGCAAGGAGCCGACCTCTGGCGTTCGTACTGTGAGTTTCTTTGTCCCACCCTATCCCTCTTATCCTCCCGTCCAACCATCCTTATATGATTTTGCATAGTAATTTTGTTTGATGCACTGTAACCGGCTGGTAACTTACCGGAACGATGCCCATCCGTTATCGATAGCTCAGCTGGCTTGCACCAGTTGCATTTTATTCTTTTTTTCTTTTAGGTATTGCGGCACAGTAGCTGAGATGTTTCCCACCTCTAGCTAACGTGTATAATGATGATGAGTGATGAAGGTGCTTTTGCCAATCTCTGCCAATTGTGGCGTCGCCGTGACATCCCTCTAGTTGAAGGGCAGCGTTTAAAATGCAGCCGTCCGTTCAGTTCTCTAATATTGTTGTGAAACCTGGCCCATCAGGTCAACAGACATAAAGCGGCTGGTCATGTTCGATCGTTACTGCCTTCGCAGCTTAGCTCATGTCTGGTGGGAAAACCGCGTGAGCAATGAGCGTGTTCGGCCTCGCGCATTTGCTGCAGGAAGCGCAAGTGAACTGCACAGCACCATTATATCACGCACCAGGCTCCGATGGCTGTGCCCCATGTTGCGCATGCCAGCTAACCGGCTCCCACGACTTGTGTAGTTTGCGCGCCGGGGCTGCGGTTGGATGAGGAGGAGAGGAAGCCAAGCGATGATTTGGTCGAGAGAAATGAAGGCCTCACTTCGAAGTTGGCGTCGGTTGGTGCATCCGCCTGCCTGGCTGGGGTCCCAAGGGCGATGAACACATTTTGTTGGACACACTTGCTGATATGGCGAAGAGCCGTCCCCAAAGGCGTTTGTGTTGTGAGTTTCTCTGTCCATTCCCCTCCTCTTTTGTTTCCCCCTCCAGTTACGATCTCATCCGAAATGCACAATGTAATGTTTAACATTATACTACCCTTTTTGTATTCTTTGTAGTGTAATTTTTAGTATCTTATCTTTTTTGTGTTGCGACATTAGTTGTTAGATGTTTTTCTCACCCTAGCTAACATGTATCGATGATGCTGGCTTGTCCATGTGCCACCATGTGACCGGTATGCCAGCACACTGAGTCCCGCGAGGTGGGTTTGCGCAACCGTGTTCTGGAAGGGAAATACCGGAGGCCAGTCGATCTCGTTTTCAGGAGGAATGATGGGCCTCTGTTGGGATTTGGCCTCTGTTGCAGCCTCGACTGTCTGGTCTGGATCCGAAAGACGATGAACATGTTTGTTTGGTGACACATTGATATGGCCCGTAGCCTAGAAGTAACGAGTTTGTCTCATAATCTTGCGGTGCGGGTTCGAATCCGCGTAGAAGTGAGCGTCCTCGCGGTATCCTCAGTCCGCGTGCGGCTGGTGGTGCTTGCACTGCAGCGAAGCGCCGTTACGGCGTACAGCTGACACCTTATTTATTATTTGTTACATTGATATGGCAAAGAGCGACCTCAATGGCGTTTGTGTTGTGAGTTCCTCCGTCCCCCTCCATCCCGCTATGACGCCCCTTCAAGCACGATCTGTGTCCGTGCATACTATCGAATACAAGCAAAATGCCACTTGTTTCTATATTTTACTTTTTGCTATTTATTATTATCCAGCCTCTTACTGCATTCTATTGCGGCACAATGGTTGTGGTATTTCTCACCTCCGGCTGAGATGTGGTATGATGATGATGACCACCCCACTGGTGTTGTCGCCGAAGAATGTAGGCATTAGCATTATTCGAGTCGCTGTTCGAATTTCGGTCACTTGCAGGACGGCACGTATATTAGTTATACTTGTGGTATACAGCGCATTGTGACTAGTGATATTATACGGACCAATGAGCATTTCGCAGCATCGACATTGTGGATGTCCGCTTTTGACTACCGATGCTCGAAAATTCTTGCTCATATCTGATTGGAATGGCACTTAGTAATACTGCAATTCATACTCCGGTGTTTGGAAGGGCATTTTAAGTCCGCCCTAAGGTATATCTGATTTGGGTCGACTTGCAGTCATACGTTTCGCAGGTTTGTTGGCTGACTTGCTTTCTATGCATTGTTCGCCGATACTGCATTTTCGATATATTGGAATAGGTTTGGAAGTCCTCGTTTCAGAATGCGTGTAGACGACCGGTCGATTTATTTGTTGGGCTTGCGACGTTTCGCTTTTGACACGAAAGCATGACTTGTGAGCCATGCAATTTCAGCGATACTGTGTACATTTTCCTACGGTTGCTGTGGAGTTGACTAGAATTCTCTTGGTGAGATTGTGAATGAATAGGTATATTACCATCACAAACAACTACATCCTCATCTCCCAATCCTCTAATGCTTAAATTCTACCCTTTGTTCGCTCGAACACTTGTTTACTCCGTTTCGTGAGTTTCATTCATACCATACAGTAGTCATTTTTTTCTTTTTTAATTTCCACAACTGATGTAATCTATTCACGGGCTGCACACGGCAGTGCCAGGCTTTTCTAATAACCATTTACATTTTCCCGGTAAGCCCTTGACATGTACGTCATTCGGAGGTCGAAGACATGGGGCGTTTTTGTAGTCCACAGATCACCGGTTAGTATCTGCGTAGGTGGGAGCGATCTCATATTGTTGCCTGGCCGAACGCGACTAGTAGTGGCTGTTTTGCGGCGAAGCGTAGGCACGGCGTACTGCTGATGCCTTCCTTTCTTTAGGTTCGTTAACTAAACCACATGTGAGTTTCTTGGAAGGGCATGCACGACAGTTATCACATTCAATGTATAGTCTTGCATAACGCGGAGAACGACTGTTTCTTTTCTGTTTTGTGTAAGCTTGTTCATTTGTCTCATCAACACTGGCGAAAATACGGTTGAAACTAGAATTGATACGCTTATTTTGAAGACGTTTCTTTGCAGTATTGGTATACTTCTTTTTCACTTCTAGCCTTCCATCACGAGAAATGAAACCGGCTTCCCCGATTGACTCTTTGAACGACCTAGCTTGCTGGACTGCTGATAGAGAGACTGTGAAAGAACTACTTCCGTTAGTGAAATGTGATTACTACTTGGATGGTAGCAGCAATTTTGTTTGACATTTTTGTTTTGAAGAACACGGAGTCTATAAACAACGTACTTCATCGACGTCGCAAATTCTGTATTGTCATGACATGGCCGAAAACTATTTGGGAGCCGACCGAAATTACGATATTACTTCGGTTTTCCCTGCCTTCCGCTTCACGCGATGGCATCTGATCGATATTTTTGTTTACTTCAGCCACCATTTGATCACCGTTCCACCAATCGGCTGGATTAACCTGGCCCACAGGTATGTCGACGAATTCACTTCCCCTGCAGTCAGTAACATTCGTTAGTTGCTACTAACCTACCGCGGCTGCAGGTGATGGTCCTACGGTAATCGCCAACTTATCTAAATTCACTGCCCGGTTTGGACCTTCTCTCCACTACCTTGCTGATCGGACACGCATTTAGGGCCTCTAAGAAAATCCCCGGCGCAAACCAACTTATGCCACGAGCTTGCCAATCAAACTGGTGTGTCAG